GACCCGGTCTTTATAATCATCCAGACGGCCCGGAGCACCGTAACCCAACGTGGGCAGCACGGCGCCAGGGTCTTGGTAGTGCGAGGGTGCGACTCGCCTGCGCCTCCGGATGAATCTATTGGTCCAGCTAGCGGGGCTGTTTTTCTCGACAACACCATCAGATTCAGTGTCTGGGTGGGATACGCGGCTCCTATCGTGCTTCCCTTTTCTCCGACGATACTTCCGGGACTCTCTCTTGAGCCACCAAGTTTTGATGTCCCCAACGACAAAGGCCACTCCAATCAACGGCACGCTGAGAGCCAGACCTATGCCGATGATATACTGGAGTACCCAGTTCAAGTGTAGTAATCCAGAACCAGTTCCGGCAGGGCGAGGAAACTCAATGATATCGATCGCAAAAAAGCTCGCGAGAAAGCTTAGTGGGAGGAAAACAATCGTAACAATGGTGAAGACCATGATGGTCTGTCCCTGTCTTGCCGCCTCTTCGGCCTGCTTTCGCTGAGCCCTTGCCTCAACAGCATTAGCGTGCTTCTGCTTGAGGTCCAGGACCTGGGTCAAATTGTCGTTGACACTTCTGGCTTGCCGGGCCATGCGATCGAGATCCTGAAGATCCAGATCAACCAGTCGTTGCTGCTCGCCAACCTTGTTGAAGAGGTCGAATTGATTAGACTCGGACACATTCTTGGAGGCTCGGAGAGTCGCGTCCAGGTCACCTAGCACTTGCCTTTGCTGTCGAAGAACGCTTGTGAGGATTTCCAGTTCGTCTTCAACGTCCTTACATTCCACCAGAAGAGACGCTTCTTTGTCTATGTTCAACAGATCATTCACAAAGGAGTCGGATGCCTGGCGGTGATCATGCAACGTATCCAGGCTGTCATTCGTAGTATCGCCGGCTTCTTGGTGCTCATCGGATGACCAGTCCGAGGAGTAGTCATTCTCGAGCATCCCCTGTTGAGATTCCCAGGGGATGTTGCCACTATCATAACCTCTGAGCCAGAGAGAAGACGCTTCTCGAAAGCACCGGAAGAGCTTGGTCTCTTTCCTCGTCAGTCGTCCAATACTTAGTTGAAACATCTCAGCGAACAACAGATCATCGCTGTGCTGCATATCGTTACTGTCCGGTCGGTCGCCGTTGTCCCAGTACTGTCGATCAAAAAGGCCTGTACATCGCTCTGTGATGACGGTCGCCAGTTCAAAGACATTCCTGACAGGAGGGCGGGTAGTGGAGTTGATATCCTCGACAACGCCTTCGAACAGATTTAGAGGATCCCTGTGCGGTTGGCGCCATCGCTCTGGAAAGCACGAAATGACCAGATTGCCAAAGGTGATCAGCCACAATTGGTCGACCATGAATATCTTAAGTTTTGTCCCCTTTTTCTTGCAGAATCGATACACAACCTGGTCAGCGTCTTGATGATCGGTCCTCGAGCTGTGATGCTTGAATTGATCCAGTGTCCGTCGAGGATGAAGATCCGTCGAGTCTCCCATGTAGCCGTGAATAAGAAGTCTATCCTTGACAACACTGGATAACTCCGAGTCGTCAAGAGCATGCGTGCTCTCCGCCGGCTCGCGTATGGTCTGGGTCAGTGATGCTCTGTTCTTGTCTGTCTCCCAATGAAGATACGGCATCAGCAAGACCATGACCTCTTCATCTTGTTGGGCAGGGAGTACCACCGTTGGCTCTGCAGGTCTGTACGATGCTGGGTGTTCTGTTTCCGTCGCTCGTTTCGGAGGCACCCACAAGCGCTTGCAAGTCGGTCGCATGAACCGTGAATGGACCTCAGCGCCTCGATGTTGTTGTCGTCCGAGTAGCTGAAGCAGAGTCTTCAACGCAGTCACATCTCTGCAATCTCCTTCCAAGTACCATTTTGTAAGCAGAGCCTCCAGCCACGAGAGGTTATTGGCTGGCAGATGAATCCAGCGGAACAGTGGCTTCTTCGCCCCCTTAGTATCCAAGTTGGTTGGGATAGCAAACTTTTCTGGGTCTCTATCATCTCGTGCGTAGAGAATTTGCCAAACGGTATTCTTGTTAACTTTGTTCTTGATACCACTGTGAGAATCCTTATCTTCGAAGAAATTGACCACGGCGGCTCGGAAGCGCTCGCAAGCCTTTTTGGCGATGCGGTTTGCGGGGGCTTCCAACACATACGGTCGCAGTTCCTTCACAATATCCCAATGGCCATTCTGCGCTGCACGGATGAGAGGGGTGCTGTCGAAGCTGTCCTTACTGTTCTTGTGGGCATTGCGCTCCCTCAAGATGCGTTTGACGGCACTCAGCTTCCCGCTTTCTGCCGCCCAGTGGAGGGAGGTCATCCCGGACGACGTTCGAGCATTGACATTGGCATTGGAGGTTAGCAGGGCGTCAATAGCACTTTCGTTTCCTTCTTTTGCCGCCCAGAGTAGAGGAGTCCAGTCACCGTCACCTCTCGCTTCGATCTTTGCCCCAGAAAAGACGAGGAGTTTGATCATCTCAGGTTCATCATGCCTCGCCGCCAGATGCAGGGCCGAATGCCCCTGATCATTACTTTGGTTGACATCGACCACACCGACGCCTATTCGCAGTAATGCTCCGACCAAGGCTAATTGGCCTTTTGCCGCTGCCCAAAGAAGAGGCGTCCGACCTTCTCGACCTTGGCTATCTCTTTTGTTGAGGTTTTTGATCTTGGACAGAAGCGTCGACAAGGCTTTGGCACTCCATGCGGTGTTTCGCTTCGACTCTGAGGCCATGATTTGCAATGTATTCTTGCCGGCATGGTCTTCGATATTTGGATCCGCTCCGCGCTCAAGCAGGGTAATCATGACATCGTTGTGCCCGCGTAGACAAGCGTAGACAAGCGGCGTTCTCCCATCCGCATCCTTGGCCTCGAGTTCGCATCCGTGATTAAGGAGCAGATTGATGATGGCATTCCTGGTTTTGTCATTGGTATTGGCAATAGCGCTGTGCAGCGGACCTCTGCTACCACCCGCATCGAACCTGGCGCCAGCTTCTAGCAACAGCCTGACACCAGTCTCATAGCCGATGCTGATAGCTTTCGCAAGGATCGTGTGCAGGTCATTTTCGTGTCCGATGCCACTGGAGACGCTATCATGCAGAAGTCTCTGTACCTCTGCGTCTCGCTTTTGCGCGACAGCTTTTGTGAGCTTGATGCGCAATTCTTGGGTGTCCACTATCGGCGTAGCCATCTCGCCGATAATAGGTTGCACATTTCTGATGGCCACGAGTCTGACCGATCACCAGGTATCGCTGGCGAGAAAACGATCCAGGAAGAAGTCAGGCTGAGTGAGTGGCGTTTAATGTTCTCAGCTGCCCAGCCTCACCAATCTCACTGACAAAGTTTACCTAGCAGGAAAAAAAATGAGACGAGGCGCCTGGGGGCCAGGAAGCCTGCGAGAAATGCGGGTGATTGACCTAACGAGGAGGCTAGTCATGGCCAATTCCCCCCGCAATCGAGATTCTTGCAGGGATTGTCCTTTGGTGGCCTGAATCTTGGATAATCTCTGGTTGCATGGATGGTCAGACCTTCACAGACCTCTGTGTAACCAACTTCGAGCTGAACGGGAGATTTTAAGATCAACGGTTGGATGCCCGTGGGCGAAGCGAGGGTGTGCAAGGTGGCTTGCCGTGCTTGCCCTAGCCGTCTCCAATCAGAGATTCCATCAAGCATCTTTGAAGCCTATCACTGGCAAGGATAACTCAGCTGCGAGGGATGTGTTAACGAAGACGGTCCCAATCATATACGAGGTACTTGTGTGAATCCCCCTCCTTAAGACGCAATCGCAGGTACGAGGTTGCGACTCCATGCCTATGTCTGGCAATCGCCATGAGAGTGCTGAGTAGGTTGAGGCCATTGAGGCCATTGTGATATGTTTTCATTGTCGCCACTGTCTCTCAAATCGGCTTTCTTTTCTCTCCTGCACGGCGCGGATCGTCTCTTGCCGTCACGACCCGTGCGCAACTCCAATTCGCCTCATTTGAGCCGCTAGAGGTGCAGACATGGAACGAAGCGCTCCACGAATCTGGGTCGTAGCTCTCGGATATGTGGCCGGTGTCAATAATCTAATCGCCGACTCGACTGGTAGGTTCTGGCGATTCGGAAGAGGTGGTTTGAGATGTTTGAGACTGCATAATTCGAGGAATTAAAGGTAAGACAATGACTGCGTAAGTCCCATTCAAGATGTTGTACTCGGCAGGCACGGCGTCTCACAAGAATGTGAAACCTTCACCGGCGCAGTCCACAATCCAGAATCCACACCCTCCGAACTCGTCGACAACTCCCGTCTGCCTTTTTATTTCACTCGGTCTATTGCTACGGTGCCTACTTTCTGCAGCCGCCAGACAGCTAGCCATCAATGACTTACCCTGACAACTTCGCATTCGACTCGACTCGACTCGACTCGACTTGACTTGACCTGGTGTCATGACGCCCCCATCCTCCGTCTGTTCTGCGAAAGCAAAATCTCCCACGAGGGGTATATACGGCACGGTACAGGGGGAAAGACGCAGAGCCTCCAAGAACGATTGGGACAGACAGGTGACAGACCAATCGATGCAACTGCTGGAGCGTCAGCAGTCTAACGGCCCGCCGCACTTGTATGCGGATGTTATGATGAACAGGGCCAGATCAACGCCGAGCATTCGACGGGAGACAGTGATACGGGTGAAATACTTCATTATCATTATTATTTGCATCGACAGATTATCACAGAACATGTTCAGAGTAAGGTCGGGTTTCGGGTAAAAATATACGACTCGTTTAGAAAAGTGGCAATTGTTGGTAAACCCTTGGGTACCGGGATGGATGTGGGTCGACCAAGTTCCCCGGACTCACAATATGGCATATATTAACAAGTTGGTCTTCAAGTTGTTTGTCTAGAAGGGATCTGTAGATTCCGTTGCAGCAATACAATACAAGCCTACTTTACCTCGATCGAAGCCAGGACAGGAATACACCTACCAACTCTGATACTCGGGTGGACCAATTGCCAATATATCCTTCATCATGTCTAAAGTGAGTACTAGCTATTTCCTGAACCTAAGTCTAAACAGTGTTGCTTACACCCAGATAGCAGTTCAACCACAGCTTCAACCATGTGGGCGTTTCGGTACCCGATCTCGATGCAGCAATCAAGTGGTACACGACAAACCTGAACTTCCGTTTACTGAAGGCCCCCCAAGAAATCAAGGAAACCGGAATCCCAGAGGTTGATGAAATATTGTCCAAGAGTAAGTAGCTTTGGTCACCCTCCAACAGACCGAGAGGCCTGATTGCGCTTGTCCCACTACTGACATCAGTGACAGTTTATGGCCACGATCTCAAACACGTCAAAGTTGCATGTCTGGCTACAGGGAATGGGATCGGCTTTGAACTCTTCGAGTTTGTTAGGCCCAAATATAGCGGACCAACGAGCCCGACGGAATTTGGCCCGGACAATTATGCTAAAGGTGGCTGCTTCCATATGGGAGTGACTGACCCAGACCCGGATGCTTTGTGCGAGCGACTGGTGCAGCAAGGAGGGAAGAAGGTCGGGGGCACCATGAATTTGCCAAATGGTGAATCAGTCTTGTACATGCAGGACCCCTGGGGAAATGTCCTTGAGCTGTGCAGCTGTAGTTTCGAATCAATGGTCTTGACCAATTGATAGGCACGAAATGAAGTATATGCGGTCTATTCCAGGAAGGACGCCAGAGTGGGAATGGCATTTGAGAGCGACGTTGTTCCTAGTGTGAGGTGAGGCGAGCCGAGTCCAGCCCAGGGGTATATATCGATCGCCTCCTGGACAAAGGCTTTTTCCCTAGCTGTGGCTTGGACCAACCCTGCATACACTCACCTATGTGAGACCCGGGCCCCCATACTTTTCACCTCAACCACAAAAGAACCAAACCACAAGAGTCCAAGCGCGACTAGCTCGACAGTCAATCGATTATGACATTGTATCAGCCGGCTGTTTTAGATTACAACACAATACGGAGGACAGGTGCAGACGATAGTGGTTCATTGGCCACGGGACGCATCCGGTATATAAGCCGCAGTGGGATATCAAGAAGGGGGTCCGAGGATCGAAGGCAGGCCATTATTGGGAAATCCAGACCTCGGTTTACCGCAAGCTCGGCATTGTCATCGGCTTGTTTCGAAAATCGTGGTCGCCGGTGATGTCTATGTCATACTGATAGAACTGTACTGCATAGGGTCAAGATGGGGCATAACATCCTGGCTGGGAGGTGTCGGCTCGGGAAGAGGTGATCCGAAGTGTTTGTGAATGCAAGGTGCGTGAGAGAGAGGAAAGGTCAAGACAAACCAAAAGTTACACTTAATACATTCTGCTATCTCTCGCGGAGCTTGTACTCCCTGTAAAGACGGTAGGCGAGAGAGAGCTTCCGATATCCACAAGCCACAAAAGTATTCAAGCAAGAATACCGCACGGCGTGGTGATGTTGAGGAAGCATAGGTTGAGTTTCATCATAGTCGTATATGTGTACGAGGTAGAAGACGTGGTGTTGGTCGCACAGCCGAAGGATATCTGTAGAGGTAGCGGAAGTTGACCACCTATAAACCAGTCAGATCCTCCATTCTGTGTCCGTCGTCACCCTTTTTGACTCCTTGCCGATATCAGTGTAAGATTGTGGAAAAAGACATCGCGATCTCTAGTGTAACACGAGGATATATGTAATAAGAGCGGCGTCACTTGTCCCCCACATCATCGCGCACAAAATACAAGCCGCTTTTAGAATGGCCAGGAGTGCATGAACTGCGCTGCCGCCTGAACCCTCAACTCTGTGTCTCCTGTTCAACGTCTCGTCTCTTCTCAATTCCCTCTGGCAGTCCTTCCATTTTACTCTTTTCACTGCTCAAACTTGAGTAAAGATCATATTTCTCCTCGTCACTGCCACGCGCGGCCTTCCTTTACACGGTGTTTCCTGAACGAGAGTTCTCACTTCCGAGCCACGCACCTAGTTTCCTTGCCTGGCGATCTCTTGCCGGTCTCCGGTCAACACGCTGTTTGACTTCACAAAGCGATCAGACTCGGTGCAGCTCCGAGAAACAGGCGCCGGATTTATTTCCTTTCTCTTCCTCGCTGGACTTTCACATTGGAACCATTGTATCACAAGCTTCAGGACGGCAGCTGGCCTGCTTCATGTATTATGACATTCAAAACTGCGCATTGATTTTGCAATGAAGATTCACACCGAATTGTACAAGAGTCTCGGGTTCTGTACGTACTACTTGTTGGGTGACTCATGTCCCTGAGGTTCAAAGTCGGAGCTTTCTGGCGGTGCGGGATGACTTTGATGTTTGGCAACACGAGACATATTGAATCTCAGATCATGCGTCCTCTGTTTGTGAACCCTCTTCATGTATCTCTGGCTAATACTGTATGTATCTCGCAGAAACCACCTGGTTCTTATATCCTGCCTGTTGATTTGCCCGTCTTGTGCATAGATCTGTGGCAGACAGAAAATCCGACTCTATTCTAACCTCCTCTCTACCTCTAAGCATCCTCCACCATGGCCTCTGCAGACGAAGACAATTTTGACATTGATATTTACGGCGATGGCGAGGTCGATATGGGTAACGATGGTACCATGGATTACAAGGCGGAGGACGAAGATATTCAGCTGCAGACGGAGGAAGATGTGCCCGTATTAGCGGAAGAGACACATGCGGCGCCCGCAATTGAAGACAAACAGCCTATCTCAAGTCCAACTGCCTCTATTGCCAAGGGAAAACCCGACGACGTCGAAGCCGAACATTCCGATTCCATTGCCTCCAAACCCGTCCCACAGCAAGGTGTCAAACGTAAAGAGACCTCGGACGAGAGACCCATCGACCACGGAGCTACCAACGCTTTGATGATTTCAGACTTACATTGGTGGACGACCGAGGACGATATTCGTGGTTGGGCTAACGAAGCAGGGACTGAAGACGAACTGAAGGACCTGACTTTCAGTGAACACAAGGTCAATGGCAAGAGCAAAGGGTTAGTCAACAATCATGCTGTGTTTTCTCATCGTTGCTGATAGCTCCCTACAGCCAATTGTATCTCGAGTTTTCTTCGCCTCAAGCAGCGACTGCCATGAAGCACAAGATCGACTCACTAGCGGGCAGCCAGCCTGGCTCGCGCAAACACTCTGTCGTGTACACTAATGCCACTCAGAATCCGTTCAAGACGCTCCCCAAAGATGCGCCTGCTCGAGTCAGGGAAGAGAGACCGGTTCGCGGGGGTTCATTTAGTTCTGGACCTCGCTCTGATACCAGCTACGGCATGAACAACCAAGGCTTTCGAGGTGGCCGGGGTGGCGGGTTCAACCGCGGTGGTTATAACATGCACAATCAGTACAACCGCAATTTCTCTGGTCCGATGGGTGGCTACAACAGCAACAATAACCACCAAAACATGGGCTTTCAGAACAACATGGGGATGGGAGGTAATTACGGCGGCTTCAACAATAGGGGTGGGATGATGGGCAACCCCATGCGAGGCGCTATGGGTGGCATGCGCGGAGGCCGTGGGGGCATGAACACCATGATGCCCATGGGTGGTGGAATGGGGATGGCAAATATGGGCATGAATCCCATGATGGCTGGAATGGGAATGGGAGGTACGTTGGCTACTGATATTTGTGCCCTGGATCCCTCTTTACCAGAAGTTGACCATGTATCTCAGGCTTTCAAGGAAACCAGTTCAATCCAGGAATGTTCAACTCCACTCCAGGTCAGAATTTTGGTGGCGGCGATTGGAATCAACACGGAGCGAAACGTCAGCGACAGGAGTAGCAAGCATTTAACACGTCCAGAACCAGCAACAGACAGCGAGCATCCTCGTGCGACAGACGTTGGACTCAACTGTCGGCAACTTCCAGCACTCTTTCGACTTGTACACCACGCAGATTGGCTACGTATATCCGACTGATATGACTGCTACCGTACCCCCTTCGCCGTTGACAACCGATTGGCAAAGACTGGAATGAGAGGATCTGGCTGGGTCAGGGCCCACGCTGCAGGTCGCGAAAAACTCTCGAGAAAGCTCCGAAGTGTCTAGGAGGGCACGGGAGCTAAGCGACAGCGAGCATGATGTAATTCTGCACCCCACGACGTTCACGTTAGGCACCTATCAGGTGATGATCGGCTCTGTTGCACGGAAGATGCACCAGGGTTGTTGTATGTATTTCTACACTCGAAACTCCAATGGTGCGCGGAAATGGTCAGGCTTGGTGTGGCATGTGCTCATGGGCCTTGGCTTGCCCTTCATACCGTAGAAATGGATTCATGGCTTTCATCAGGATCTCTTGAAGAAGCACCAATTCACCTACACACGTAGTCCCTTTTTCACAGTGCTTCTCTGGTGTCCGGGTCAGGCGGGGAAATAGCTTCCAAGCCTGTGTGTGCCATTGGGAAGTTCTGGAGCCTGGGTGTCGGAAAACTCTTCCTGCTGGTTTCCCATTTACAAGTGTGGCGGTTTTTGCGGTCTCAGATCAACGGAGACTCATCATTGTATTGAACTTCTATCTTTTTTTCTTGATTTCATTTCACACTGCGGTACAAATGCAGCGTTATGCGACTTGGACTGGATGCTTCGCTGTCGCCTTGATTCGCAATTGTACCAGCCCAAGCGCATTTCCCCCGCTCACGCCGTCGAACACCAAATTCCTCCCTGCGCCACTTGCCACCCGCTCGAGCCACATTCACGTCGTCGCGCACTGCTAGCCAGGTAATAATCTCATTTCGCTTCCAATGTCGGAGCAAAGACAGCAGCGTCGTGGTGAACCTCCCCGTGCTCCGACTTCCGGACACGGTCAAGCCTCCTCGATATCTCAGTCGGTTTCTCAGACCCCGATCCAGGCTCCAATCCGCTCAATCGAAACACCCACTCCCGACCTTTCCAATCGCCCTACGCCCACCTCACAGACACCTCGCTCCCCCGCGCCAAACCTCTTGTTTCGTGTCCCACAATCTCCTCTCACTGCGACGAGTGATTCGTCTCAGAGAGCTGGAAAAGTTGCCATTCCAAGGTTGAAGAGATCGATTGATCCATCTGAAGATCCGACTCGATCAGGGGGAAGGCACCGCGTCAATCATGCATGTGAGCCCTGCCGCCATCGCAAGACCAAATGCAGCGGGGAGCGCCCAGCGTGCAAACATTGCCAGGACTTTAAGATTACATGCTTTTACGCCGATGGCAAAAGAGATAGGGCCAAAAAGTTGGTTGACATGTTTGTTCGAGCGTGAAGATGCTAATTGGCGTCCAGGCAATTTGGAACCTTGACGGAGAAGGTGGCCGATTATGAAAAACTGCTCAGGGAACTGATATCGAGGGTTGATGAAGACGACGCAAGATTGATCCGAGCATCGCTAGAGAAGGTGAGTTCCTTTCAATGCAAACATAATCCCTGTTGTACGCTGACTCTCGACAGGAATCGAATTATGACGCCGAAGAAACCCTCACAGAAGGCACCGCTGATGTTGCCCTGACTGGTGATGTCGATGCAGAAGATGATGAGTCCGGTGCGGAATCAGAAGCTTCGGCAGGCGCTGGGTCCACGGGTGCACTAGATCGAACCGATGAGGATTTCACCCGTGAGCAGGCCCGGATGACGGGTTTCATGGGGAAGAACTCCGAGGTCACCTGGCTCCAGCGGTTGCGTGAACAGAACAAGTATGGAGACGTTGAACAAGATCGGCAAGGTAATGAGAGGCAACAGGCGCTCGCTGCCATGTCCAGTGCCTCGCTGACTTCGAAACGTCCAGTCGGTGACACCCAAATTCCGCTTTCGGAAGCAGACGAAGGCTTCACTATCAAAGATTCCAGCTATCACATGGATGACACATCGATATTCATGTACGAGGCCGTTGATGCCTACGAGATGCCTACACCTGACATTGCGGACCATCTGTTCACTGCATACATGCAGCGAGTTCACTCGTCCTTTCCCGTAGTTGGAAGGTTGAATCTGACCACTCAGTTTCGAAGGTTCATTAGCGGGACCGTGCAAAGACCACCAGAGAAGTGGCTCGCGATCCTCAACTTGATCTTTGCAATCGGTGCAAAGTATTCGCATCTAATCAAAGCCGAATGGAAAGGCGACGAGAGGGACCATCTGATCTATTTTACCCGGGCTCGACTGTTAAGTATGAACTCTGAAACCATCTTCCATCATCCAGATTTGCAGCAGATCCAGGTTCTAGGCTTGATGTCTTTCTACCTGCTGTGCAACAGTCAAATTAACCGGTAAGTGTCGCCCAGTCCACCTCGAGGAAGAGCGTCAATTGATTGCAGACTAGTGCTTGGATGCTGAATGGAATTGCTATTCGAGGAGCCGGCGCCTTGGGACTGAACATGCGCAATGACAGCAATGGCCTGAAGGATTCACTCAAGGAAATCCGCTACCGACTTTGGTGGGCTCTCTACGCCCTGGAACATCGTCTGTGCAATATGACGGGTAGGGTCAACTGTGTCATGGATGACCACTGTACTACACCCCTGCCAATACCCCTGGAAGAAGAACAATTCGAGACCGAGGAAGGCCAGAGACTTCTGAGCAAGGAAATACAACAGGGTGACCGGGCGCCATCGTCAAATTCTCAAACCCCGAGTTTCGGGTCAACCCCTTCAACCGACCGCTCTCGTTCGCAAACCAAGATCGACTCACGTTCGCCCTCGATGCCTGGAGCCCTCAGAGCTGGTGACTTGGAATGGGCAAAGGATGTTCAACCTAACTCTTCACTATACTTTCTCCACCTGGTACAGTTGACTCGCTTGACCCAGAACATCTTTCATAGTCTGTACAACCCGGCGGCGATCAAAGGAACGTGGTCAGAAGTTCAGGCCAAAGTAAAGGACCTCGACGAACGCCTAGAGCACTGGTATCGCAAACTGCCTCAGGCATTTGCTTTTCGACGGAACCAGCGCGAGCGCGGGTCCTACGAATTCCGCTTGAATTTGGGTTTCTTCTACTACAGCACCAAGATGACCATCCATCGACCCTGTCTCTGTCGACTTGACCGAAAGATCCCAGGGCAATCAAGCAAATCACTCGAATTCAACCGCAATTCTGCCGCCTCTTGCGTGGAGGCTGCAATGGATATGCTGCAGCTCATCCCTGATAAACCCAATGCCGTCGGGCTGATTCGAGTCGGCCCTTGGTGGAACATTGTGCATTGGCTAGTCCAAGCCACGACAGTTCTGATGCTTGAAATCTCGTTCCGAGCCAACCACATGCCGGAAGAAGCAGAAGCTATACTGGAATCATGCAAGAAAGGCATCCGCTGGCTGCATGCACTAGCAGAAGACAATGTGTCGGCCAGGCGTGCCTGGACAATATGTTTCTCGCTGTTTGGGGAAGCAGTCAAAAAGATTGGGCGTGATGTCGACGATTTGCCACACGATCTTCCAGGCAGGCCTTCTCCTCCACGGCACGATGTTTCCATGGCAAATTACTCTGCGGTCAGCAATCCTCTGTCCCAGAACATGTATGTGTCGGCTCCAAGCGCGCCTTCTATCTACAACACAATGCCTGAGCTTCCAAGTGTGCAAGCATTTGCCGCGTTCGACCCAATGATGCGGTACGACCAATATTTCCCCCCGGATCTGCTATTGAACGATCCCTCTTTACATTTCCAACAGCCCACCGACGCCGAGATCGAGTTTATGAGCAATGCGTACCATGAAGACCAGGGTCAACAGCACCAAGGTGGCCCGTCCGGTCAAGGACCCAGGATGAATTGAGATATCGAGCCGAGACAAGTTCCAGACTGCAGGAATGTAACGCGCACCGCGTCTCAGGGAGCTGGAAGACAAAAGGGGCAGCCATCCACATACCAACCGCGATTGACTTGGCATTCCAGCATACGCGGTCTGGACATATTGTAATTGAAATGCCCTGCCACTCGAACAATCTGTTCTGCCACCATTCTGGGACATAAAATCCCACTGTGAGTCCTATCTTCGCCGGCGAAGGTAAACCATTTCCCCCTTTTCCAGTGAGATTAGACTCGGTTTTGTGCTCCAGATATGGAGGTCCTACTACTGCTGATCGCCCTAGCGGCGCCAATTTCTTCGATAAAACAACACGAGGGACGAGCCCATTTCCATCCTAAAGAGCCTCGACAACTCCCCAGCTCGCCCATCCAAGGGTTGGGAGTACTGGCAACCCCAGCCCCTGTCGCCACAACCCCATTTACTCCGTCGACTCTGCCCACAATATCGTCCTATGCCTTTCCCACGACGGTGATTCAGGAACCGGTTGCGACGGTATGTCCTGACACGCCAGCTTCGTCAGCAATATTTTCAGTCCTACCCCGGTCTTCGTTAGGAGCCAACAAGACGCAAGGCTCGATTACCAATAGCTCAAGTTACATTCCAGTCCGAGTGAACGCAACAGCTCTTCTTCCGAACGGAAGCACGACAGTCTTCTTATCTACCAGCAGGGCTCGCGTACCGCCGACGACTTCAGCGACAATACCTCCCATGGAGCCCAGCGGAGCCGAAACAGCACGGATAGTTTTAGACACGAATGGATGCCAGACATTGTACAGCGCAAAAACCACGACATGGTGCAGTACCACTGTGCAGCGGGCTGGAATGATACCTGTTCCCATTACGGATTGCGGTCAATTCGTCACGTTCTCCAGTCAGAGACTGGTTGCCTGCTCTACGATGGCTGGATCGAGTTTCTCAAGTCCTTCCCTTTCACCTGCGGAAGCGAACGAGCCCATGGCGTTCTATGCTGCCCACTGGTATGACCTTGTTCAGAATCCTGTTCCCAACGTCGTTCAAGTCCAAGATTGTCTTCCTCGATCAAGCGGGTGGGATTGCGTTACCTCGAGCGAAAGCTGGGATGTGGTGACGATCACGAGCAGCAGCACTGGGACCAGTGTGGCTTCATTCTCAGGGGTAAGTTGAAGCCAATCCGCCGTCTACATTCGCAACTGACAGAGATTTAGCCCGCCGTGGTCACATCTGGAACGTACACAGGCACCACCACATTGTCCTTTGAATCGACTCTTACTACCACCACAGTGCTAACCTCATCAGCGATCAGTCGTCATCAGCTCGGAGGTGTCAGTGCAGCGACTACATCAGAGCAAACAGTGACTGTGCTGGTGACGATGCCAACTACGAGAACCTTGTTACTCGACTCGTTGACCAGAACCACAGTGACCATTCGGCAGACTTCAATGGTCGAGGTAACAGAGACGAGGACTCGAACCTTGGGTGGTGGTTCATCGGATCAGATCTCACAAGACTAGCAAATTAATGAGCAATGTGATACCCAAAATTCCGACATGAGCAAGCATTTTTGTCAGACCCTTTTTTGCAAGTTCCAATGTTCGTTCTAGTATGATGGTTTTTGCTAACGCACCGACCCTTCCCAATGTTTGCCCATTTATTTCTGCTCACGCCACGGCAGCACGAAACGAACCAAAGAGCGCGATCAACGATACAGGAAGTGACGCGCTTTTGGCCATCAATCACGCTCGCTGGCTGGCTGGCCACGGGAGTTTGAGCTCGCCTACTTCCCCACCGTGGCATACGCCTGTCCTCCCGCTTCCCTGTCGATCTCGATACACTCCTGCAGGCCGCACAAGTTGAACGACTCCTTGACGCCGCTGGCCGAACTTCTCGGGGTGGTCTTGCCGGTGGTCTGGAGGACCTTGAGCTCGTCGCGCACGCTCTCGAGGAGGGGCCCGATGCACAGGCCGGGGTAGATGATGATGCGGAAGCCCATCTTGCTGGCCTCGTCGACGGTGTATTCCGGGGTGACGCCGCCGGGCACGACGTTGAGCAGGACCGGCGTGTCCCCCATGATCTGGCACACCTTCTCCATTTCTTCCTTCGTCTGGAGGGCTTCGAGGAACACGGCGTCCACGCCGATCCGCACCGCTTCTTGCAGCCGCTCGATCGCCTCGTCGAAGCCGTACGTCTGGCGCGAGTCCGTCCGCGCGATCAGCACGATGTCCGATTGGAGCTGGTCACGCGCCGCCACCGCCGCGCGCAGGCGACTAAAGTAAATCTCCCGGTCCACGATCTGCTTGCCGAGGAGATGGCCACATCTCTTCTCTTGTACCTGTTTTCAATCCCGGTTTGGTGAGTCAAATGTTGTCACGTGCCGAGGAAAGACTTGAAAGGTTCAAATTTGGTTGCAACTTTTCCCTCGTCGTGGGGGGAATTCTGACTGACCTGATCTTCAATGTGCAGCGCCGCGACCCCGGCTCGAGCGTACTGCGTCACGGTCCTCGTGACCATGATTGGGCCGCCGTAGCCCGTGTCGGCGTCGGCGATGAGGGGCACGGAAGGGTTCAGCGATGCGATCATCTCGGCGTTGCTTCTCATGTCGTTGAGCGTCGCGATGCCCAGGTCGGCCCAGCCGAGTCGGGACATGGACGTGCCTGCTCCGGTCTAAGAGAGATTGAGTGAGCGAGTGACAATAGATGAGACGAGCTGAGAAGAGGAGAGACGAGAAGAGTGTGTGGTATCGTATTGTATCACGGTGATTGACACACACACACACACACACACACTCCCAGGCATGGGATGTTTCTTTTCCTCTTCGCACCATCCCCCTGTCTTGATTGAAAGTGATATACGTACCATGTACATCGCATCATACCCGGCCGCCAGGGCCAACCGAGCCGTGAACCCGTCAAACACGCCGGGACACACGACGACCTTGGTCGGGTCCTTGAGCATCTCTCTCAGCCGCGTGGCGCCAGTGAGCGGCGAGCATGCTTTGGTCGTCTTGGTGTCGGCGCCGACTGAACCCATGTTTTTTTTTTTCGGTGTGGCGTGGAGTTTCGAGTCGAGAGTCTTGAGCCGGAAGTCTAGTATTGAATCGCGAGGGTCGAAGACAACAGACCGGAAGGGTATTGTTTGGTTGGAGGAGGGAAGATAGAATTGTGAATGTAATGGCAACCAGGATATATTCCTTTCTCGATGACAACTCGCAATTCCGTGTCAAGGACTAACAAATCAATGGCGGATGCAAAATGCTTCCCCTCCCTCGATCTTAAGTATATATGTAAGTACGTAGGGGTGTAAGTAGCACGGCAGGTGGACAGGTATTTAGTTATCCACCAAGCAGGAAGGATACTTTTTGTACATTCATCAATCCGATCCGAGGCATTTCCCGTTTCTTCTCTCTCTCTCTCTCCTTCTTCTTACTTGTTAGTTATTAGTTATTATCCGTCCCCGTTCCCAATGAACCTAGTTGCCTAGTCACGTACAAGGCATGCAAGTACCGTACGTACTCCAACCCAAAAAATGCGGAGGAGGAGAGGGGGGGGGGGGCGAAAGCTTGATCGACTCCGATGTTTGCGCTTTAGTCCGATTTTCGCACCGAATTCCGGACTTGGAAAGGGAGAAGAAGAGCAGATATCGGCCTTACCTTGGAAATTCGTCACGTTTCATTCGTTGGTTGACGGTCAAGGCCGGGCGAGGACATGTGGGGACATCGGTCGGGGAGATGGTGACCCATTCATCAACCATGAACCAGCCATTCATTGAATCATGAGCCGTGGATGATGTTCACGATCCTATAACCCCTCCAAAGGCCGGCCGGCCGGTCGGTCGGTCGGTGTGTAGCTCTCACGGTAGCTGCAACTGCAGCTGTTCGTGAGAGAGGGGAGAGGGGCATGTTCTGCGTCAGATGTACGAGGTACGCGCATATGTATATGTATGAACTTACTCGGTAGGTGGGTGGGTAGGTAGGTACATATGCATGCGTGTTAATGTTTGTGGACTTTGATCCGGGGTCGGGACCTAGACTCTGATCGTGGGATATTATATGCCCCTCCTACCGTACCTACTAACCCAAGGACAGAGGATTGCTATCCGCCACGGCATATAGTACGGAACATAGCACACAGTACATTACCTTGGCTGGGATAGACCACGACTGCTCGTCATCCTCATCTGTCCAGATCGAACACAAAAGACCAAGAAAAGAAAAGAAAAGAAAGGAAAGAATATGGAGACGCTCACAGAAACACTACCACCCTCCCAAAACACCCTGCAAGATGAATTCGAGAGCAGACTACGCGACCTCCTCTCCAGCACCAGGAAAGTCGACGTGACGACCCTCAATCTCTCCCTCATCCCGGGAAGTTCACCTAAAAGTATTCCCCGCGTCCTACTTCGCTATGCCGACGCCCTCAGAGACGCAGGGTACAATCCCGAGGCCGAAGCCCTGGATCTAGTGCGCGAAAAGGCCCTCGACAAGAAAGCCTTTGGAGGACTTGGTCTGCACGACGAAGAAAAAGAAGAAGACGGCACCGCTACTACGACTCCCGCGCAGCAGGCCGAGGCGCTCTTCCTGGTCGAGGCATGGCTCGAGGCCGTCAACTCACGCGAACGGGCTACCGATTTTCTCTCGTACAGGACCGCGCCTGCAGAGGGGACGAGGCCGATGACTCTCGCGCAGAAGATCTTCGCGCAGCATGTCATTGGGGAGAAACCCCCTAAAGGACTGGCGGCCGGCGATGTCGTCAGGGTTGGTATCGACTGGATCCTGGCATCAGAATTGTCGTGGGGGGTATGGTTCCAAACTTCTAACACCTATCTTAGAGAGAGGATCTCCTATCCCGAACAGAACAAAAGCTGACTCTGAGAAAAAAAAAACAGGGTATGGCCCGGACGTGGAAACGACTGGGCTCTCCATCAATCTGGCGCAACGACCGCTTCTGGCTGGCCGGCGACCACGTCGTCCACCCGGCGGTGGCGCAGGTGCCCAAGGTCAAGGCCATGGTCGAAGTGGCGGAACAGGCCAAGAACGAGTTCAAGATGACTGAGTACCAAGGCATGAACTACACCATCATGCACACCGAGTTTGTCCGGGAACGCGTCGAGCCGGGCATGCTGGCCATCGGGTCCGACTCGCACACCTGCTCTGGCGGCGCCGTCGGCTGTCTGGCCATTGGACTCGGCACGGCCGACGTGATGATGACGCTGACCCTCGGGGAGACGTGGTTCAAGATCCCCGAGTCGATCCTCATCGAGTTTGTCGGCCAGCCGGCCTTTGGCATGTCGGGCAAGGACGTCATCCTCTACATCCTCGGCGAGCTCAAGCGCAACACCGTCGCCGCGGAGCGTATTGTCGAGTTCGCCGGCGAGGGTCTCAAGTATCTCTCCGTCGACGCCCGGTTCGCCATCTCCAACATGTGCACCGAATTCGGCGCCATCACGGGCATCTTCGTGCCGGACAGCATCACGAGAGACTACATTTCGCGCCGGCGGAGAAAGGCCAACCGCGTCAACTCACTCTACTTCCAACCAGACGCCGACGCAGAGTATGCAGGCAGATATACCATCGACTTGTCCAAGGTCGAGTCCTCGATCGCCGTCTACCCGAACCCGGACGACGTGGTCCCCGTCTCGCAGATGGCCGGGAAGCCACTCGACGGAATCTTCATCGGCGCCTGCACGACCACCGAGGAAGAGCTGGTCCTCGCGGCGCTGGTCCTCAAGGTCGGCCTGGACAGGAAACTGCCATTGGTCAAGGGCAAGAGACACTACGTGCCGGGATCGTTGCCCATTGTCGAGAAGCTAAAGGACCTGAACCTGCTCGAGATATATGAGGCCGCGGGCTTCACTCGCGGTCCGCCCGGCTGTTCGTACTGTGTCGGACTCTCGGCCGAGCATGCTGATGAAGGGGAAACGTGGCTGAGCTCTCAGAATCGCAACTTCCAGAACCGTATGGGAAAGGGTGAGTTGCCTATCCCTTGGCCTTTCCTTTGATCCCTCCAAAAAATCGGAGAGTGTCTGCTGGTCTGTACCGTGTATTTGCATGAGGCTAACTTCTCGCTCGTTGGTCGCTGAATAGGCGCATTCGGCCATATCACGTCGGCCATGGTCTGCGCAGCCTCGAGCTTCAGCATGTCCATCACCAGCCCCGCGGACTTTCTCAAGGATCTGGACTTGGATTTCTTCGAACGATACCGTCCTCTCCCGGACGTCGATATGGTTCCTGTCGAATACGTCGAGCCCGACCTCGGCAGGTCATCAAGTGCCGCAAAGACGAACAGCACAATCACCAAACCGATAGATCCAGCACCGAATGCGGAAGACAAGCCACCGAGGAAACTGGACAAGATCTCCAGCAAGATTGTCACGCTAGGCGACTTTATCGACACAGACGCGGTAAGTCAGAACCAGGCCCCCTCCCTGTGGCTCGCACAAGCCGATCAAGCAAGCAAGACAAGACAAGACAAGGCTGACGTTCTCTTCCCTCCGTTGGGTCCATGTGTCGCGAACAGCTGGCTC